TCAAGTGCATTTAATCATATTTTAAATAGACATATACGTCTCATTAAAAAAATAATCAAATATTCGGTTAAACGACTGGAAAATTGTAAACCCTTTGTCATTTGATAGGTTATAATTAACACCCCTGACTGGAGCACATAGGCAGACATTACAGACTTTACGCAAAGAGTTCATTGCAGAGGCAACTAAAATCAATCAATAAAAAAATCCTTTCTGAATATCATCTCATGGACTCTGAACTAAATGCGTCTTTCTGACCAGGAGCTGGCAGCGTGTTGAAGAGTTATGGACCGGACACCTTGGTTAGGAAGCTCATTGCAAACTTTAGTTGAAATGGTGCCTTTAACTCCAGTCTCCAGTACAGAACAGAGAAAACTAAAGAGAATGCACCGTTGTTTTAACCCATTTATAGTTTAAACAGAGGAGCCAGCAGTTTATTTTGAGGTAATAAAGGTGCAGAAGTTAATTAGATCCATGCGCACTGCGTTCCACAACCAATGCGGATGCAGCTCCGCCGCTGCAAAGAATTAAACTTAACTCACCCTGCGGTTTTAGCAAATGGAGGTGAAGATGTTACCCTTCGCGCCCAGAAGGAGAGCAGCAGATGTAACATCTGTCTGTTTTGGAGAAGCAAAACCACGTAATAAATAAATAAATCCTTGGAAAAAATGCACACCCGAACCGCGCACACGGTAAAAAAAAAAAACAAAAACTCGCAGAGTTCAATTGTTCGGTATGGATCAGACAGATCCAACTGACCGATGAACCAGCGCAGATTTCTCTGCAGATGTGACCAGGAGGAATTTGTGAGCCTGTGCATTCAGACCACAACAGGTGAAGTGCTTTAAGTGCTTTAATTTATTATAAATTATTGGGGCCACTACGGAGAAAAAGTTAGATGCATTTATTTGGGTCACCTGGGGGCAGGGGGGGCAATCAGATGTCAGGGGCTCCGCCCCTGTTAGTGTTAGCATTAGCATTAGCCTTAGCAGTGCATTAGAAGTAGCCTTTTCCCTAAAATAAGCTTTTATTTTAATTTTTCTTATTTATTGTTTCGCACACTGAATGGAGGAAGTCAATGTAAGACAAGATGCTAGTGATACCTCACAGGCCACTGTCTCTGTGTGCGTTTGCAAATTGCAATCTTACTTTTTCATGACTCTTGGAGGAATGGCTTCTTCCTCACTGAGTGGCCTTTCTGCTCATGTTTGTACAGGAGATGTCACTGAGAAAAGCCTAGGGGTAGACATTTATCATATTGTTTATCATTTATTGTGGAAAAATTGATCATGATAAGACTTTTTAATTATTTTTGTCACTAATTTTCAGTCAATGATGGTATTAAAAAAACACCACAAAACTGATAGTATTATTAGACATTATTTTTGTCTATTTTCACCACTGTAATTTCCACGAGAGCACCAATAAATATCAGTAAAATTGAAAATATGATTAAATGCAATTGCTGTGTTCAGTTTGGTGATGCAATCACACTTTTATTTGTTTAGTTAAAAACTAAACAAAAAGCCCTGCATTTCAAATAGAAGTGGAGGACATTGTATGAGGCCATTAATGAGCTTGTGCTAGAAAGAAACACAGTTTTGTTCAGTTCAGATTTTTTTGTATGTCCAACAGTTAGTGAGTGAGAGAGAGAGGTAAAATTAAGAGACCGATTCGCCTAAACACTTCTTTTCCTAAATAGTCGAAAAAACCGGAGCACCCGGAGAAAAACTTTGCATCCATCCATCCGTCCATCCATCCATCCATACATCCGTCCAATTGTCCAATTGATAATTGTTACTGTCCCTAATCCTGAGCAGCCAAGTGGAGAGGAACAACTTCCTTTTAACAGGAAGACACTCCATCTTAGAGAGACTGGTTATATTCTATGACCAGTTAAAAATTAAGACGACTAAGGAGACAGGAAATACAGAAACACTAAGGCTGGAAGACATTGTATGAGGCCATTTAAGGAGTGTGTCCTAAAAAGAAACGCATTAAGAATCTGAACTAGGTAAGTTAATATTCTTCATATCTCTAACAGTCAGTGAGTCAGTCTCAGTGAGACACAGAGGTAAAATTAAGAGATCAATTAACTTAATCACTTTTTTTCTCGAAGGAAAAACCGGAGCACCCGGAGAAAACCTGTGCATTTAGTTTAGAGTGTGTCCATTTAAAGAGCGTCTCCAACAGTTGGTGAGCGAGAGACAAAGGAAAATTTAAGAGAGACCAATTAGCCTAATTAGTTTTGACTATTTTTTCTCAATTTCCGTTACAAAAATCTTCCTGCCCTGCCTGCCAGACATTTCAGGCTTCGTTTTGCTAAGGGGTTTTAAATTTTCTTGTGTTGTTAGGTTGTGTTCTTTAAACTCTGGCTCTGACTTGCCTTCACCTACAAGCAGAAATCTTCGATTATGATCTGGCTGTATTTTGGGTAGCTGGAATTTTTTTTTCTGGATCGGTGGTTGAGGTCTGAATTGTTGATTGTTGGTTTGTGTTTTGAGTGTTGGTCCTTCCAAAGTCTCTTTCCTCTCTGTGGAATCCTTCAAATTCTTGTGTTTTATCTTCTCACCGATATACAATTCTGTCACATTAAGCACTTTGTCGGCGACTTTAATGTGATTTTCTTCCCTCTGCCTGTTTTTGGTTAGAACCTTTCTCTGAAAATTTAAGGACTCATTTTCTTTCCTCAGGTCTCTGCACTCAGATTTTATGTAGTCCAAACTTTCTCTCACAGCCACAGCCTCTCTCTCTGCCTCTCTCTGTGCCTCTCTCTGCTGCTCCATGAGTTTACTCATCTGCCGTTCTTTTCTCATCAGATGTTGTACTAAAATCTTGTTTAGCTGTTTTTCCTCAGCTAATGTGTTTTCCTCAGTTGAATCGATCCTGGTTTTAATCTCTTGCTCAGTTTTACCTATGTCTTCCTCCATTGGAGTTTTAGAAAGTTTAAGAATTTCATTTTCCTTCTCTCTCTCTTTCAACTGCTTTTCCAGAGCTTCTACCTTCCCTTCAAGAAGGCTGTACTTGTCTTTTTGTCTCATAATCTCATTCTTCATGATGATGTTGTCGATCTTTCGGGACATCTCAGACTCAAGTTTCTTCATTTCACTTTGGTACTTTTTAACCTTTACTTTGTACGCTGCGATTTCAGACATCATTTGCCTTTTTTCTTTCTCAGCCTTCTCATCTCGCAGTTGTGAAACCGTCTCGAGGATTTTTAAAGAGGTTTGAAGCTCGCTCACTTTATCCTTGTAGTGTTTTACCTGGTGTTTTAACTTTGGGATTTGCTGAGATTCCAGGTGTTTGTTTGGCTTGCAAGACCAATTTAGCTCTTTGGAGATTGAATCAATTTTCTTGTTCATAAGCTCAATTTGTTTATGAGCTTTTTCCAAATCCTTCTTCTGTGTGTTTGTCATCAGTAACTCACATCTT